TGATTATTTGGTTGGGGTTTTTTTTAATGAAATGGCTGTGAAATTTCTCCAGACACAAGATGCTGATAAGTCTTCACTGTCAGTGTCACTGCAGTATAACTGAAAGTAATACAAACCCATTTTGAGATCCAGTCATGACACTTAAGAGGCTAAATTTTAATGTGTTTTATAAACCAAACCAGCCTACTTACCTTTTCTGGTGAATAATGAATGAAAGGCCAGCTGCATTTTTTCTTTATTAATACTTCTGATGAAAAGAAATATATTCAAAACGTTGTTGCCAGCATATAATGTACCTTTAGTGTCACAATGCTTTGAAGCAAGTGCTGCAAAGTTACTTAATCCTAAATTCTACTTGTGAGTTTTTGTACTCTCTAGCAACAGGCCTGCTTTAGATTTATTAGATAGTAATTAGTCAACAGCTTGGAGGCTTTGCCTTGTTGTGCAGTTCCTGCCCACGGAGGAATTTTCTCAATGCATAGTAATTTGTATTTGAAAAATATATGCTGCTAGTATTACTCATATTATTATTAAAGAAACTGTGGATTTATCTGGCGATTTCCAATTTTGGATTCGGCTTTTTACCCAGAAGATACCATTGATTACTTCCTGATTTTCTTGTGTTGGTTTTGTGCTTTTCAGGGGCTCCCAGAATGAGTGGGGAGCAATTAAATGTGCAGAATATTTTTTGCATAAAATACTTCTTTTTGAAGTTCTTTTTTATTAAATCTTCATTCTTGTCATTGCTTCCCTTTTGTCTTTTCCTTAAAAAAAGCTAGAATAGGCAGCACTCAAAGTTGGAGCTCTTTGAATGTGTGTGCTGTAGGTTCTTCTCCCTTACTCTCTTTTTTCCCTTTGGTTCGTATATATGGCAGTCCACTTGGAAATCAGTGAAAAATTTAGTGTACACAACACTGTTGTGAACAGTGAAATTTGAAACAAGCCTTAAGTATTGTGTGTATATGCATGTACACGTATGTATTTATGCAGTACACTTATGTATGTTTTAAATCTGAGTTTTGTGAATAGATCCTTGCAGGTTTTTTTCTACCCTGGAGGTTTTAAAGTTGATGTTGCAGTTTAGAGCCTTGTAAGAATTGTAGTACAGGACCTGACTTACTGTTTTCCTAGGGTGCAGCAGCTGCTCCTTGCAGAGCAGGAGATGTAACATTCAGGTAGTAGCGAAGCACTTCCTGTGTAGCAGCCACTTGTTTCACCAAGTTAGCAAAGACAAGTGGTATTTGATGTCTTTCCATACTTTGTGATATCTGATTTCTGCATCTGAGTCATAAAATTACCATAGAATCACAGAATTGCTTAGGTTAGAAAAGTCCTCTAAGACAGTCAAGTCCACTGGGGAACCACCACTGCCCCATGTCCCCAAGTGCCACAGCCACAAGGCTGTGAAATCCCCCAGGGATGGGGACTCCAGCCCTGCCCTGGGCACCTGTGCCAGGGCTGGGCAGCCCTTCCCATGAGGAATTTCCCCAATTGCCACCCTGGGGCTCCCCTGAGGCCGTTCCCTCTCCTCCTGTCCCTGTTCCTGGGAACAGATCCCAAATCCCCCCGGCTGTCCCCTCTTGGCAGGAGCTGTGCAGAGCCACAAGGTCCCCCCTGAGCCTCCTTTGCTCCAGGCTCAGCCCCTTCCCAGCTCCCTCAGGAACTCTCCATTCCCTTCCCAGCTCCTCAGGAACTCTCCANCCTCAGGAACTCTCCATTCCCTTCCCAGCTCCTCAGGAACTCTCCAGCCCCTTCCCAGCTCCTCAGGAACTCTCCAGCCCCTTCCCAGCTCCCTCAGGAACTCTCCATTCCCTTCCCAGCTCCATTCCCTGCCCTGGCCAGGCTCCAGCCCCTCCAGGGCTCTCCAGAGCTGCCCCAGCCCTGGAGGTGCCCCAGCAGTGCCAGCACAGGGACGGGCACTGCCCTGGCCCTGCTGCCACCCCAGAGCTGGCACAGCCCAGGGACCAGTGGCCCCCAGTGGCCTCTTGCCCACCTGGGCTCATGTCCAGCCACTCTCACAGCACCCCCAGGGCCTTTGCCAGCCCTCTGGCCCAGGCTGGAGCTCAGGGGTTGCTGTGAGCCAGCGGCAGGACCTAAGCCTACCCCCACACCACAAATATGGCTAAAGCTCTGTGGGGCCTGAGGCCTCTGAGCTTGGGGTGGTGGTGACAGGTTACATGGAGTGGGAGCCTTCTATGAGAGCGGCCTGATGGATGCCGGGAGAGCTTTCCACACCTAGGTCCCTCATTCCTGGCGTGTTGTTCCTTCTGGAGTTACTCCCGTGCTCCCTTCTCGAGACTTTGCTGGCAGACAAAGCTGAAACGCTGTGTGGGACGTGTCCCGGCTATCCCAGCCCCCAGCCCTGTGTCGCTGTGGCACGGAGCACTGAGTGTGGGGAATAGGGGCCTCTTTGCTTCTTACTGCAGCCTGGTAATCACTTGAGCTTTCTGTGTTGAGTGGAAAGATGAAATTCTAATTTCACTTTGCTTTTGTGTTGAAGATTTATTTCTGTCTGGAAGAGTGCTTATAGAAGAACATGGATGCTACTGCCTGCTCTGGCCAGGCAGTGCAGGCTATTTATTTTTCTTTCAGATATGTCAACTCTAATCAATTATAGATTTTTAATAGATTTTTATTAATAGATTTTAATGGTATTAATACATTTTAAGAATAGGTTATAGATTTTTAATATCCCTCATTTGTCCATAACGTCAGGAAGTTTAGTAAGCAGTCTGAGAAACTTACAGATAAGTTTTTATTATTGGGGTATCAAAGAAGTTTAATTTACATTTTTAAAACTTAGTACTATGTTTTGCTGAAACTTCATTGACTGACACTGATGTTGAAATGCTGTGTTTTTTTCTCTCCTGAGATGCGACATGCCTGGGGCTACAGTACTAACAGGATTTTAATTTTATTTTTTATATTACTCTTGGTAGCATTTCTTGGTGAATGAATTAGTAATTGCTTCCAGAAAAAATTGTTGCTGGAGTTCTATAAGCAGCGGTTCCCTGAGAGCTTACCGCATGGCATGAGATTGTTTTTAGCTTGAGAGACTTGCTCAGGTTTTCAGAATCTCTGCTCTTGGTTGCAGGCAAAGTTCTATCAGTGTTGATACTGTTTGATTCATGGCTTTTCCATGGATATTATATTCAAAAGGATGATTTTTTAGACAAAAAGACTACATGTTACTGCCTCCAACTTGGAAGTTTCATTTGGTTTTGTGAATTCCTGGTTGATGGATAAGTAGTTTGAATTTTCAAAGATGTTGAAATTTTACAAGAAATATAAATCACAGAATCCTGGAATGGTTTGGGTTGGAGGGGACCATAAATCCCACCCAGCGCCACCCCTGCCGTGGCAGGGATACCTCCCACTGTCCCAGGCTGCTCCACCCCAGTGTACAGCCTGGCCTAGGCACTGCCATGGATCCAGGGGCAGCCACAGCTGCTCTGGGCACACTGTGCCAGGGCCTGACCTCCCTCCCAGGGAATAATTCCTGCCCAAGATCCAGCCTAAATCTATGCCTTCTGTATGTGTATTTTTTTTAATCTAATCTCTGTTTACACTGACATCTGTGTCTCCATAGGGGGCCCAGATGCTTTTTGTGCTTCCAAAAGTCTTAGTTTTTTCTTCACTTGCTTGAATGTCCATTTCCTGCAGAACTTCAGTAACTGGCTTTTAAAAATCTTCAATTTTTAAAATCCAGTCAAATTTAAAATCTTCAAAAAGCTCAATTTCTCAGCTTGAAAAGTATTGTAATAAATTCATTTATAGACAGGGGAAGGCGGTTTTCAAAACCTGTGAGTCTTGCCTTTTTAATTTGAATAAGAGATCAACCTTAAAATGTTTGGTGGAAAAGTGTTTGGAAAATAATTTTTGGCTCAGCCAAAATGTGTTAAAAAGTGAGATGCTAGCATTAACAGATCACTGGGGAAAGGCACAGAATAGGTTCCTAGATACCAGTTTGAGGAATTTCTGGTCTTGCTTTCTTCTCTTTCTGCCAAGTTTAAATTTAGAGTGGTTTTGTTTTAGAGCTGTGTTGTAAGTAGGACAGTTGAATTTTGCCAGAGGGCTGTGATTTTTGTCGTCGGCATGGAGTTTATAACTTGCCTAGGAAGGAATCCTGGTTTGGGTGCCAGTGTGTGCTCTACCAGAACATGGTGTTTGGCACCTTCAGGTGCTGCTGCCTTCTGCTGCCATCCCTCCCTATCATTTATTTTCATCAGTTTCTGCAATACTTCAACCATTTGTTAGAACTCATCTGGAATATTTTGACTAATTCATATGAGAGAGGAATGCATATGGTAATGGTTTGGCTTTTGGTTTTCTTTTGCTGGAGTAGAATTTGCACTGTGCAGCATTTGCAGATGTTGATAACAATACAGAATCACAGAATGGTTGAGGTGGAAGGGACCTTAAAGTCCATCTCATCCACCCCATCCATGGGCAGGGACACCTTCCACTATCCCAGGGTGCTCCAAGCCCAGTCCAGCCTGGCCTGGGGTGCTGCCAGGGATCCAGGAGCTTGGGGGTCAGTCCAGCCCTCCATTCAGGAGATTGTCAAGGGGTGTGTGGAGTCAAATACATAATGAGTAAGAGGTTGCACCATGGCTTTCACCTGAACTGCATGCAAGAATGGTAAAGTTTGTGTAAATAAATAGTTTAGGAATAATTTTAGCTTCTGTTGGGGAATTCCTTTTGATGGTTAGGTGGTATAGCCATACATACAGGTTAGGAACCATGGCATCAATATGATAGAGAAACCATCACTCTTGAAGTGATGTCCTTCAAGATGACATTCCTGAAGAACAATCATCACAAGGCCTGCACAGAGAGTTCAATAGGAGACCCTCAGCTGGGTTTTATTGTGCTGTAGTTGGTTTGTTTATAGTGGCTCTTAAGTAAATAATAATCTAATGATGGATCTTCAAAATTTAGAGAATCCTTTCTGAATGTTTAAAACCACTGGACACTAATGTTTGTGTTTTTATTTGCAGACTCACTGAACCTTCAGGGTATGTCACAGATGGGCCTGGAAATTACAAATACAAGACAAAATGCACCTGGCTCATTGAAGGAAGGTGAGTGTTGGGATCAGCTTGGGATTTTGTGATGCTTATTGGGACTTTTAGGTGAGTTTTATCTGCACTACATATTGTTAGGCCTCACAATTCTTTCTGGCTTTTCTAAAAGCTGGATAGGACAACACTTAATTGTTCCTGGTAAGTAAGTTTTTGTGCAACTGAGCCCTTCAGACTGACTTCTGATTAAGAGGTTTGTGTTGAAACAGCATGTGGTAAACAAAAATCAGTGAACTTCTGTAAAAAAATGAAGGATTATGAATTACTTAACTGACATCATAGTGGGCCCTTTAGATGATGGGATTCACTGTATGTGGGATTTTTCAGTAGTATGAGAAACAAGAAAAAGCTCTGAAAGCTTTTATTAATGAAGAATCAGTTTCTGTAGTGATGCACTTCAGACGTTTCTTTACTCACTGAGTCATGAGGACTTCAGAGGAACCATTGACCTTTTATTGCAAAGGTTTTCTAAACTGGGAGAAGTTTCTCAGATCTCTCCCCTCACTTTGCTGCCCTTCTTGTATTCGATCCTTATATTGATTATAGCAATTTCTTGCACAGGTTTTTAGGAGTAGCACATTCAATGTCTATCCTCTGTCACCTGACTGATGGTGCAGCAGTTCAGAGCATCTCACTTGTTGAAATATATTTTTGGTAGTACCAAGCTGGTGCCAGGACTGTAAGATCCATTTGTTTAGTCTCTAAAGCTTTTCCATGGTCAGATATGATGCTGTGTGATAGCATCTGTGTGTTTGGTCACATTGTTAGTTGTTCCCTGAATCTGCAGGTGGAGAGGGCTGTGAACTGGCACGAGTCACTTAAGAGTGTGAGCTTGTACTGGCCACTGCGAACTGAGGCCTCTTGGCATCTTGGGAGATCACAATTTACCAGAGGGCACTAGTCTTTTCCTTAGTCTTCTCCCTGTGTTTAATGTATCTGTTGCTGACATGCACAGTGGGATCAAGGCACCCTTAGCAAATTTGCCAGTGGATACCAGGCCATATGGTGTGGGCAAGGTGCTGAAGGGAAGAAATGGCACGAAAGGGCACCTGGACAGATCAGGGACATGGGACGGTGTGAACCTTGTGAAGTTACGCAGGCCAAGTGCGAGGTCCTACACGGGGTTGGAGCAAACCAGAGCACAAACACAGGATGGGTAGGGAATGGCTGGAGAGCAGCCCTGGGGAGAAGGATCTGGGGGTGCTGCTGGGTGAGGGCTGGACATGACCCAGCCAGAGCCCCCCAGCCCTGGACTGATCCCAGCATGGGCAGCAGGGGAGAAAGGCTCTGTCCCTGTGCCCTCAGGTGAGAGCTCACCTGCAGAGCTGCCCCAGCCCTGAGGCCAACAGCAGGAGGACATGGAGCTGCCGGAGAGAGCCCAGAGGAGGCCCTGGAGCTGCTCCTGGGCTGGAGCCCCTCTGCTCTGGAGCCAGGCTGGCAGAGCTGGGAATGTTCCCCTGGAGAAGGGAAGGCTCCAGACAGAGCTCAGAGCCCCTTGCAGGGTCTGAGTGGGTTCCAAGAGACCTGGAGAGGGACTGGAGACAAGGGACAGAGGGACAGGACCCAGGGAATGGCTCCCACTGCCAGAGGGCAGTGCTGGATGGAATATTGAGAATTAGGAATTGTTCCCTGGGAGGGTGGGCAGGCCCTGGCACAGGGTGCCCAGAGCGGCTGGGACTGCCCCTGGATCCCTGCAGTGTTTAAGGACAGACTGGATGGGGCTTGGACCAACCTGTGCATGGCAATTGGTGGAACAAGATGGTTGTGAAGGTTTCATCCAACCCCAACCACTCTATGGTTCTTTGTTGAGGGGGTTCTGATGAGTTAGGAGGAACTATTCATTGTATCTGCTTCAGACATTTGTTTGAGTTGAGGAAGTTAAATTCCTAAGCTCCTAAGGTACTCAAAACGGAGGGCTGAGCTGCTCCATAGAACCATTCAGAACAATGAAATTTTGAGGCAGCCACTTACTATTAACTTTATTAGGAGCCCAGGTGTTGGAGGTGGTTAAGAGCAAAAGTTGGATACTCCAAGTGGCTACTCCTTTTAATTTGTGTAGGTGATAAGAATACAGTTGCTGACAGTTTGCTATTGCATATAATTAAAAAATGTTTCACAAGAGCATTATTGCACACAAACCAGCCTCAGCAATCCCAGCACAGCCAGCGTAACCCTCATAACTTCTGTTTTTGAAAGATATTGTGACTCATTTTTATTAGAAACAAAATGCTGCTCATGAATCCTCAATAATGTCACCAAAGCTGCTTTTCCAGCCTATAATTACTACTGAGAAGCTTCCTATGGAACCACCATTTTTTGGCTTTTGAAGTGAGATCTTTCTTGCTGGAAAGACAGAAATGTTCCTCTCTACTCCATAACCAGGCATAGGTTGGAGTCCTTTTCCTGCCTGTGAGTGTTTATACCCTGCTGTCAGGGCATGGTGGTAAACAGAAAAGAGATAATCATGCTGATTAAACCAGCTGAAATATGCAGCCCTGTGTTCCTTAGTGTTCTCATTTCCTTTCTGCACCGTTCCTGATTTTTCTTGGCTGGTGTCTGTGCTCTGTTCTTATCCCAGGGGAATCCTTTCTATTTTTCCCAGGATGTGAATGCGGCAGATGAGCTCCATGGATCTTGAGGACTATGTGATTGTGCAGATGAGGGCTGTTTGCTAACAGTTGTTGGCTGTTGCAAAGAGACACTTCAGTTTTGTTTGTGGTCTGAACCTTTATTGATTGACAATTTCTTTCTTCTCTACAGCTGTCAGGCTATTCAAGTAGAAGCAATCTTCTATGACTCCATGGGCTTCTCAGTTCTGAAATCATTGGTACTTTTTGTACCTTTACTTTAAGCAGGACATTATCCTTGAGTTCCACCTGCTGCTCTTTTCCAAAGGCCTAGAGTAGATTGTTGTACCTATCAGAAAATAGTTATTTGCAGAATAACTCCCTAAAGACTCCCCATCCTGTGGGAAGGACGGACTCTATGGCAAGCTGACATTTAAAAAATTATTTGATTAGGATTAACAGGGAGTTCATCTGAATTCAAGGGTGATACTGTTGGGGAGATCCTAGATACTTGTGTCTGTCCTTTGAACAGCTCCAGCTGTGGGTGGGAACAAGCACTGCTGATACACATGCATTTTCTATTTGTTTTAGGTCTAAGCACAATGCTAGTGGTGGTGTTTGCACCCTCCTGGAGCTGAGCCTAAATTAAATACCACTGTGTTTTCTCTGCAATTGTCTTTAGATGTATCTTTTTTATATTGGCCATGAAACAAATGGTATTTTACCATTCTGAAAAAGTGGCCCTGCCCCAGCTCTGTGTGCTGGCACCCAGAGCCCCCCAGCCCTGAGCTGATCCCAAAGGAAGGGTGGGAATTGTGTCCCTGTGCCCCTCAGGTGAGAGCCCACCTGCAGAGCTGCCCCAGCCCTGGGGCCAACAGCAGGAGGACGTGGAGCTGCTGGAGAGAGCCCAGAGGAGGCCCCGGAGCTGCTCCAGGGCTGGAGCCCCTCTGCTCTGGAGCCAGGCTGGCAGAGCTGGGAATGTTCCCCTGGAGAAGGGAAGGCTCCAGGCAGAGCTCAAAGCCCCTTGCAGGGTCTGAGTGGGTTCCAGGAGACCTGGAGAGAGACATTTGGCTTGAGCAGTGGCTGAGGTCACTTGGTTTGTTCTACCTGGAGAAGAGGAGACTGAGGGGAAGCCTTGTCACAGCCTGCAACTTTCTTCTGAGGCAGAGAAGGGGCAGTCACTGATCTCTGTGTGACAGGGACAGGACCCCAGGGAATGGCTTGAAGTTGTATCGGGGAGGCTTAGTTTAGATCTCAGGGAGGGCTCTTCCCCCAGAGGGTGGTTAGACACTGCCCAGGATCCCCAGGGAATGGTCCCACAGCTGCAAGATCTCCAGGAGCATTTGGGCAATGTGCTCAGGCACAGGGTGGGATTGTTGGGGTGTCCTGTGCAGAGCCAGGAGCTGGACTCAGTGATCCTTCTCAGTCCCTTCCAACTCAGGATATTCTGTGATCTGTTCTGCACAGCAGGATACAGTTTTTTGACCATAAAGAAATTTTTGCTTAATACCAGGAGAGCTGCATACAAAAAAAACCCTGAACCACAGCATGTTTAATGTACCTACAGTTACACCAAATGACTAAGTTTTAGTATTGTCTAGACCAGAGCTTCACACCAGAGGAGTGTGTTGAAGGGATTTTGGCCTTTATGTTGAGTGGGTAATTACAATTTATTTATTAATTTTTAAAATTTTTTCCTTACAGGCCAAACACAGTCCTCAGGCTTCGATTCAATCACTTTGCTACAGAGTGCAGCTGGGACCATTTGTATGTGTATGATGGAGACTCAATTTATGCTCCCTTACTGGCAGCTTTTAGGTGAGTTCTCCTTGCTGAAACTCTTAATTGTAGCCAGTGGTATTTTCTTAACTTAGAGCCTGACTTACACGTGGCTTCTGACACTGTAAATATGATCCAGTAGTCCAAATGTATAACACTGCAAGTGCAGTACATATAGCCAGTGTCCTTTTGTGCACTGTTTGTCAGCATAAACAATTAAGGAGTTGTTTTTAGCTTTTACAATGAACAAGTCATGTCACTGCACTCTAGCATTAAGTATTATGTTTTCATTTCCAAATCCTGATTCTTTGAGAGACAAAATAATTATTGTCATCTGTCTGGACTAGAGATGATTTGGTGTGCAGGCTCCTTTGAGAGGAGAAAACTCCCCCATCTATGGGTTTGAACATGATTTATGACTTAAACTTGTAGTGTGTCAATACAGACCGAAGGGCAAAAGCCAGCTAATGTTGTAGACATGGAGGTCTTATAGAATTATGTTTATCTTTTATGTACCTTCTAATTTTTTTAGTTACTTGGAATGTGTTTAGGAACAGCAGTGATGGATCATCCTTATAAAAACATAGAATCACAGGATGGTTTGGCTTGGGAGGGATCTTAAAGCCCTTCCAGTGCCACCCCTGCCATGGCAGGGACATTTCCCACTGTCCCAGGCTGCTCCCACCCCAATGTCCAGCCTGGCCTTGGGCACTGCCAGGGATCCAGGGGCAGCCACAGCTGCTCTGGGCACCCTGTGCCAGGGCCTCACTGCTGTTACAAGGAAGGATTCCTTTCCAATGTCCTGTCTCTCCTGCCCTCTGGCAGTGGGCAGCCATTCCCTGCATCTCCATCCCATGGCAAATGTCCTTCTCTGGCTCCTGATGTATAAAAGTTCCTGTTCTGCCCACAGGGTATTGGTATTTGGCTCGTCCATGTGATGAGACATCAGTGTGGCTACTAGTGAGCAATCGACATTTCATCCTGAGACCTAAACATAACTTGTGCTTTTCTGTGTTTCAGTCTTGCAGTGACACCACCACCTTATGCTTTTTATTCTTTAAACTGAAATTAGGAAAATAATCCCAAGTTATCCATGGAAAAAACTAATGGTTCCCCTGGGACTCTGCTTGTTCCAAGTGGCTGTGTAACTATTTCCAGAATTAACCTTCTGCTGGGCTTCCTCTCATTTGTGAAATGAAGGTCTAAAAATACTTTGTTTGTTCTAGAAAATATTTATAATGTCTGTGTGAGAAGATCAGCAGATGGACAAAAGTTGATAAAAATTTAAACCACCACAAGTGGTTTTTTGATCTTCAGCTGCAAGTGTAGAGTTGTTTTGGAGTGAATGTCTCCTGTAAAGCTTAAGACTAACTTGAGGTCAAGACAGGACACCTCATTTTAAGAAGGAGCAACCTTTCTCTTCTAAAAACCTCCAAAAACATGGTATTGCCACCTGGAAGTGCTCTCCTGGTATCGTGCTCTGATTGATGTGCAGGAAGAGGAGGAAATGTCATCTTGACCTGATGTCATTTTGTTCTAATCAAGCTATTTTTTAATACACTGGTGAAAAGGTGAAATGACGATTTGTGCCTGCCATTTCTTGTGTCTTGCCATTTCCAAAATTAATAGGCTTTTAAAATTGAAGTTATAAGTAGTTCACAGCATTAACAGCAATGGTTCAGACTGGGAGATCTGTAAATCAGGAAGCCTGGGCCTGAGGACAAGCAAACGTGAACTTAGTACAATAATGTTTTTGAGGTAGGAAAAAAGCACCAGTTTTTAAAAAATTGCTTCTTTAGATGACATTTGAATTTAACTTCATTAGCAGTGAGCTGTGGTGTTCAGTAATCCAAGTTCAGGAAATGGCAGATGCTTCTTAATTTGATGAAGTACCAGCAAGCATCTGTTGAAAAACAACTTTCTCTAATACAAAATAAATGCCTTGGAATTTTTTAAAAGCAGTGTTCATATTTTCTCAATTTACTCGGGGTATATTAAATTTATTGTTACCATAACCATATTTCCTTGTTCATTATTTTTGCACCCTGCCAGGAGATTTGCAAGACTGAGCTTTGTACAGTTGGGCCCTGGAAGCTTTCAGAGTTTATTGATAAACACTAGAAATTCCTTTCTTTCTTAACTCTGTTTTTGTTCCCTCCCTGACTTTTTACAACAGTTCCCTGAACTTTCATTTCCTTCACTGTGCTCATTTTGTTTGCTTGACCATCTGATGCTCATTTGTTTGTTCACAAGATGATATTTATCTTGAAATAGATATATATAATCTTGTATATATATATATAAGATGATCTTGGGAATCCTCAGCACTGGACTGTAAGGAAGCTTTAAATTTGTTTGATCAATTTTTAACAGCAATAAATATTTGCTTAATGCCAACGTTTACACAGTTTTAAGTCTGTGCATAGACTAAAGTCCTTGTATTCTGAGAGCCCCCAAAGCTCTCTGGTCCTACACATTAAGCTTTTTCTTATTAAACAGTGTTACAAATATCTTTGCTGGTTTATATTTGTGACCACAGGCACAATGAGACTGTGTAAATGTGCTGCTTCAAAAATGCAGTAAAAGAACATGGAAACAAATGCAGCATGTTTGTCAGCACTGATGAAGAAACTTGAATTAGACAAACTGCACTCAGCCCCTGTGAACTTTGTTGGTTTTGTTAACTTTATTCTGCATTAACCATTTACCAGAGCTGGTTTTGCACCTTTATTTTCATTTTGCTCTGGTTGGTGGAGGGCTTTTCCTGGGAACAACCCAGCTGTTGTTCTGCAGGCTGTTTGGCAGTGGCCCAGCAGCTGCTGTGGTTGCTCTCAGGTGCCAGCTGGAGGATCGTGTGAGCCCGTGTTCCCTCAGGAGCAGCTCATCAGTCTTGCCTATTGTTGGCCAATATGGCATTTGAGCACCCAAATTTGGGTGTAGGGCTGAGTTGGGTTGGAAGGGTCTGATCCCTCTCTCAAAGCAGGATGGCCATCAGAGCCCTTTGTCCAGTCAAGGTGTGAGTTTATCTTTTGGATGGAGAGCTCGTTGATCCTCTGGGTCAGTGGTCCAGAGACTGGTGTTAAAATAATGATAAAAAATGAATCTAATACTAATGTCTAGCCACAATCTCTTGCTGCAGCTGGTGTGTGTTGCCTCCTGTCCTTTTCTTGTGAACCTCTGGTATTCCCTTCTCTCTCATCTCTCCTGAGGTAGTTGAGGTCAAAAATTAGGTTTCACCCTTCTTCAGCGGTCTCTCATTGAAGTTAGAGAAACCTCATTCCTTCTACATCTCCTCATACAGAGATCATATGGTTGACCATCCTCTATTTTTTCCTTCTATTCCCTCGATTCTTTGCCAGAAATTATAACTGACCTTGTTGCCATGGGAATGTGTATCCAGCTCGGGGGCTTCCAACAGCAGAAGGACCTGGAGCTGTCAGAGCAAGTCCAGAAGAGGCCACAGAGATGCTCCAGGGGCTGAAGCTTCCCTGCCACTGAGGAGGCAGGGAAGAGCTGGGAATGCTCTCCTGGAGAAGGGAAGGCTCCAGGCAGAGCTCAGAGCCCCTTGTAGGGCCTGAGGGTGGGCTCCAGGAGAGCTGGAGAGGGACTGGGGACAAGGGACAGAGGGACGGGAGCCAGGGAATGGCTCCCACTGGGAAAGGGGAGCTTGGGCTGGG